ACTCTCGATCTCGCGGCGCAGGAGGGGTTGGACATCGCGCAGGAAGGCCTGCAGCAGCGGCGTGGGCTTCTTGACTAATGCATGCATGAGAAAGGGGGTGGGATCTACACTCTGGTCTCCGACGACCAGGATGTCTCTGCTGCGTGGCTCCATGGCTGCACACACACAGTATCGAAAGAATGAAAGAAAGAAAGACTAGAATTTCACACAAATACTCAATATTAGGATGGCAGCAGCAAAAACCAAACCATGCAGCTCTCTCACTAAGTACTGGGTTCACTTCCCCCTTTTGTCTACTTAGGGCACACCTCCCACCGGACACGTTCCAGCAAGGCTGTCCAGCCTCGAGTCCGCAGTCACATCACAAATCGCCCCCCTCCCCTTTGAGCTACAATAGCTGATAGGAGAACGCAAACCCTAATCATTCCGGACAGAATTTGACCTCCGATTATCTAAGATCCTGCAGGATCTGCTTACAGCACAGGGAGACGACCCAAGCGTCCTCATCGGCGGAGGTTTCCCACAACGTTCATGCATTCGCAACACGGCCACGGTCCACCACCTCCGCCAGCTCGCTCCCGAATCCCGCGGCCTCAAACTCCTCCATGATCTCCTTCCACAGCCGATCCATCAAGTCCGGTTCCTTGTACATGATAGGCGGGAATCTAGGTCAGGCGTTTTGTCAGCGTCAGCATCACATACACACATGCACATTGTGGCACAACGTACGGAAGAATCCGCCCTTCACTGAGCATACTGCCATGACTCAGCGGGCCCTGCGTCAACGCCGCATCGAGATAGACCTTAGCCCCCAGCTCTGGAGTCCGGCCGATGAGACGGATGAGACCGGAGACGACCGCGTGCTTGGCGCGGTTGTCATCGGGCTCCCTGACAAACTCGGTGCCCTTGCACAGGCCCGGACACGCGACGTTAACGACGACCTCGTCCGCCGCGACGACATCGCGGGCCAACCTGGCCACGAACATCAGCACGAACAACTTGGTCAGCTTGTAGCGCTCGAGGCCGTCGAACCCCTTGGGCGAGTTGGCCGCGGCCAGGAGCGAGGCGTGCCCGCGCAGCAGTCCGGCGGCATCGAGCCAGTAGGCTGTGTCCGATCCGACGAGCGTGAGACGGCCGGGGAAGGAGGCACGCAACGCCGTGCCGGGGCCCGGTTTCTCAGCAGTAGCAGGGGCCACGCGACGGAGACTGGGCAGCAGCAGGAGGGCCAGCAGGGCCGTCGACAGGAAGTTCACCTGGAGGGTGGTCTCGCGGGCGGGACCGGGGTTGTTGGTGGTGAGTTGGTAGCGTTTGAGCGCCAGGCCGGCGTTGAGGATGGCGATGTCCACCCGCGCCAGCTCGGTCCGGCAGCGGGTCACGAACGCCTGTATCGAGGCGTAGGACGCCATGTCCAGCGGCCAGACCTCGACGTGCGCGGCCGGGAAGGCGGCGCGGAGCTCGCGCGCCGCGGCCTCGCCTTTGGACTGGGACCGCACGGCCAGGATCAGCCGCGGCAGCTGCAGGGCCAGCAGCTGGCGTGCACAGGCTAGCCCCAGGCCCACATTGGCGCCGGTGACAATGGCGACTTGTCCGTGCAGGTCGGTCGAGACGGTGGGGATGCTATGGAAGAGCTGGCGCTTGAAGAAGGCGCTGAAGGCCGCTTCCTTGGATGCCTGGGCTTGCAGCTTGGCTGACATGGCGGGTGAATGGTGGGATGGGCAGGAGATTGGAGGAGGATGAGGAAGAGGGGGGGGTCATTGGGAGATGGAAATAAGAGGATGTGATGACATATACGCAGATGGACAAGTGGTCCTTTCCTACGATCGCGATAGGGTCCGATGTCCGATGCTTACATGCTTAGCGGAGAGAAAAAGTCCGGTCTGCAGCCGATGCACGTAGCATTCTAAGGGGCTTCTATTCGACATTGCAGCAGCTGCGTCTAGTACGCGCTATGACGGAAGATCAATCTATGTCCCTACATTGTATTAACTTCATGAATTACAGGTAATATCACGCTCAATGCTTCAGTGTCGGATGCCGCCGCTCGTAGAACAGCGAGCCTACAGATACTACCACGCCCAACGCGCTCAGCCCCACCCCCACATACCACGCATGGCGACACATAGCAAACAGATCCGTCTCATCGGTCGTGTAGCGCAGCACGGTGCCCGCAATCCCCAGTCCGATGCTCATCGCGTAGTTATTGGTAGTGAGCAAGAGACTGGCGGCAATGCCCTGGTGCTCGCGCGGCACGGCGGCGGAGAGCATCATCATGGCGGCCGGAAAGGACATGTCCATGCCCCAGGGGACGATAATGGCGGAGAAAAAGGTCTGCGTCCAGTAGGTTTGGTGGACGGGCATGGTGGCCACCAGCACGTTCGCCACCAAGAATGCCACCATGGCCAGCACCATGATTACCGGCACGCCGACCTTGTGGATCATCAGGCCCGTCGCGACGGAGGCGACAAACCCCGACACCGCGGAGGGGCTGTTCTGCGCGGTGGCCAGCAGGGGCGAGACGTCGCGCAGCTTCTCCAGGAACTGCCACAGGTAGTACAGCCAGATGCTGAAGGAGGACCAGCCCAGAAAGATGGCCCCGAGCACGAAGACGATATGCCAGTTCAGAGCGCGGATGGGGACCAGCGGCTGCGTCGCTCGCTTCTCCACGACCACAAAGGAGCCGAGGGCGAGGACGCCCAGAATCAACAGCACGTAGACGTAGGGGGTCGCCCAGCCCACCGTCGGACCCTGGTTCCAGGCCACGTTCACCAGAATCAGGCCGGAAACCCCCAGCAAGAAACCGGGCCAGTCCAGCCCGCCCGCGTCAGGACTGGCCTTGGGGGGGGTCGGAGGGAGAGTGAACACCGCAGCAGCAGCAAGCAGAAGACATGCGAACCCCATGGCGAAGTAGGCCCAGGCCCATATGCCGAACTGGGCGGGGATGGCGGTAAATAGGGCGCCCAGCATGTACCCGCCAGGGGCAAAGGCCCCAAACAGGCTGAAGACCATGCTCTTGCGCTTGCCCATGGGGTACGTGCGGCCGAGAATGGCCACCGCGTTGGGCAGCATCAGCGAGGCCCCCAGGCCCTGCAACGCACGCGCAATGACAAACAGCTTGTCGGAGCTGCGCAGGAAGTAGCTGGCGCCCGCGACAAACGACCAGAGCGCGTAGATGGCCAGCCCCCCGATCAAGATGGGCTTGGAGCCGTACATGTCGCCCAACCGCCCGGCCACTAGAATGAAAGTGCCCGTCGTGAGACTGAACGCGGCCAGGTACCAGCTGAGTTCGCCGTTGTCGGTGACATGGAAGTGGTCGCCGATCATGTGTAGTACGGCTAGTCCCTGGCCCATGCCTGCCTGAGCGAGGATTTGGCAGGTCAGCAGGGTGCTGGTGAAGAGGACTTCTCGTCCCAGTGAAAAGGGCGGGCGTCCATCTTTCTGAGGAGGGAGAGGCAGTGGTAGGGTCTCGGCATCAGAGGAAACCTCGCTGGGGAGAGGTTTTTCGGCCATTGAATTGTGGTCTAACGATGTCATTGGGAGGCATCCAAACTGGTAGAATGTAGAGCAGCAAGTAACTCAATTTAGGTTGGACACGATAAAGAGAATAGAGCATAGAATAGAAATAATATTGCTGAGGAATAACGGGGGGGGGGCCGAAGAAAGGGCAAGAATGCGGGACCGGCGTTCGGGACAGGCATACGGGCACGGAATTTTCCCCAACGCCGTATGACCGGACATTGGCAAGAATCCTGCAACTTATCTGACACTAATGCAGACAAGACAAAGCTAATTGCCTAGTCTCCGGACTTTCCCACCACCCATCATCACCATCCTTACTCAATCCCTCTCAGACAGTCCCCTCCACCACATCCCCGACCTCCGGCGCCGGCAACGCCTTGAACTGCAGCTTCTGCTGCTTACCTTCCCCGCTGCTGGACGCCGCCGTCGTCTCGTCCGGAAACTCCAAGCCGCGAAAGATGTGCTCGAAGTCCCACTCATTCCAGCGGACGAGAGGTCGGATGCCGGCGAACTTCCACTGGCCGTCGACCTTGCGGTAGTAGTGGGTGTTGGTGGCGTGGCCGTGGCCGCGCTTGCTGACGGTGGAGCGAGTGGCGTCGGTGTAGCGCAGGTGGGCGGCGCGCAGCTGGTGGTGGCCGATGACTTCGGTCTCGGAGACGCGCTCCCACCAGTGCGCCCCCAGCAGGTGCTGCGTCTTCACGCAGGGGTCGCCCAGGAAGCCCTCGGAGGAGATCATGGCCAGGAAGTCGTCGGCCTGCATCTCGGGCCAGAACCAGCGATCGTCCATCACCAGGCGGTAGTCGATCTGGGAAGTCTGTCAGAGGCTGAGGGCAAAGAGGAGGTTCAGAAATATGCGTACTCTTAGGGTTGGAGCGATGATGGCCTGGAGACGGTCCCAATCCTGTTTTACTAGTCAGCATTGATGGTTCGTAGGGAATGAGGTTCGTACTTTGGCATCATAGCTGTCGCCCCAGTTAAAGACGCATTTTTCTAGTTGGAGGTAGTCTAGAAATTAGGGCTTTAGTATACACTGATCAATCGTTACTGTAGCATGTGTTCAAACACATACCCTCGAACGAAATGGATAGATTGTTTGTCGCCATATTGATTTGGGATCAGATTACCACTAGTATGTAAGTGCTATGATCTCGGACTGTAGACCAGAAGAATGGTTTTATAGTATTATAGCTCCTCCTGTCCTATGCAAGGACTCTTCGGAGTTCCAGGCAAGGTCCGTCAGGCATTTCCGACCCGTGGGCAGGACTGCGGCGGATTGAACGGAGCCCTAACTCATCCAACGCGAGCCAGGAATGTGAGTGGCAGTACCTACACCAAGCATTCCAATTTTGAAAACAACGTAGGATCACTACACTCTCGCATTCATAAACTTCCAACTCAGTACATTCCAAACACCGAAGTAACACTCCAATCACACGGTCGGAAACCAGCCCAATCCAACCCAAACACAAAAACCAGCAACGCATCTAGATCAAATACTCGCGCAAAAGCTCCGTCACCTTGTACCCCTCATCCAACCCCACCACCAAACTAATAAACCCGTCCGGTCTCACGAGAGCCAAAGCCCCAACTCGCGGATCCACCCCAAGCAGACGGTGCCCCGCCGCCTGCGGATCTTCGTAGATACGGTACTTCCACTGCGGCAGTGGGGCGGGCAGGTTCTCCAGACGCACCTCGTGGCGACTATCGGAGTGCACCAGGAACAGATCCACGATGCGATCGCGGTTCTGCGGGTTAGCGTAGAAGATGTCCTCGAAGCCCCAGGCCGGGTTGGCGGCCGCGTCGAAGCGCGAGAGGGCCGACTCGGAGGAGGCCAGGTAGTCCGTCAGCGGCGCTAGACGGCCGTCCTGGATGGCGGAGCCGACGAATGCACAGAGGTGGAAGCGGCCGTTCGACGGGAGGTCATTGAGCAGGTTGAGGTGCGTCCCGTCTAGGTGACGGTAGACGTCTATGGGATAGAGACGCTTGCCGGGGGTCAGGGGCTCGACGGCCAGATGGTCAATGACCAGAGGCTCCTCGCAGGGCCGCGTCAGGGGCCCCGTCTGGTATTGCTGGCCGACGCCGGAGGTGAACCCCTGCGCTTTCTTGTAGGTGTCCTGAAACTGGGTGTCCTCGCGGAAGTCCTTGCGCGAGAAGAGGTGCGAGAACTGCACGTCGAAGTCGATGAGTTCCTGTGCCATCTGGCGGCGTTCCAGGGCGTAGGTGTCTAGTAGACTGGGTTCGGCGCGCCCTTGAAGAACCAGCGCCAGCTTCCAAGTCAGATTGTAGGCGTCGGCGACGCTGGTGTTGAGCCCCTGCGCGGCCGAGGTGCTGTGCGTGTGGCACGCATCCCCCAGAATGAACACGCGGCGCTGGTCCCAGAACTGGTCCACAATCCGCTGCTGCAGTCGGTACTGGCTGATCCAGAGGATCTGCTCGATCTCCATTTTGTAGGCACCAGCCACGTCGCGCACGCGCTGTCGCAGCAGCGCCTCCAGGGCTGTGTCGCTGTACCGCGCGTACCCGTTGACTCCGTTGACTCCGTTGACGCCGTTGGCCTTGGACGATGGCTGCTCGGCCACCCGGCGGAGGTCATCGTCGTTGAGCAGGGTGTAGACGCGGTTCGTGTCTAGGGCGTTAGGGATCAGCATCATGCGGCCCTGGGCAGCGCGGATGGCGCAGCGGCGGCGCAGGTCGGGGAAGTCGCTTTGCAGCTGCACGTCGGCCACGCACCAGACCTCGTCCTGGCTGCCGTGCGTCTCCCAGTCAAAGCCCAGCAGCTGCCGGGTCTTGCTGCTGGCCCCGTCGGCACCCAGGAGGTACTTGGTGCGGCAGGTCGAGACGACATTTGAGTGCCGGTGCTTGACCCGCACGTGCAGCGGATGCTCCGTGTCATCGTCGACGTAGGCGAAATCAACCAACTCGACTGGTCGATCGACCTGGCATCCATGGCGCTGCAGCTCTTCGTCGAAGGCGCGCTCCGTTTCGCGCTGCGGCACGCTCAGGATCCACGGGTAGGGCGTCGTGGTCTGGATCTCCTGACCGACATAAGTGCGTTCCAGCTGGCCGAGATCGTTGGGCGCCCAGAAGGCCATCTCGCTGACATGGTTACCCCGCGTGTCCAGCTGGTGGCGGAGGTTGAGGGTCTGTAGGACCTCCTGCGTCCGAGGTTGGATTCCTGTTAATGCTTTTGTGAGCCAGTCTGTCTTTTGAGGGATTCGTTACGGATGAAGTAGACGTAAGCACACCTCCTGCATGGCCGGTCTGGATGCGTTCAGGGCGAACGTCAATCACTCGAACGTCAACCTTGTAGCGAGCCAGCGTCAATGCGGCCATGAAGCCAGCAGGGCCTGCCCCGACGACTAGGACGTCGCATTTGCTATCAGCTGGCATCTTGTGTGGATGGGAATGGTAGAATATCTAAGAAAGGTGGTGGAAGAGTGAGCCTTGAGTAGTGAATGTGCTGTGGGTTGCAGTTATACTTATTCTAACCCCGTCCCGGGCAGGATCTTTCACATCTGACTGTATCGATCAAGCCAACGCTCAACGGACATCGGCATCCGGCCTTGGAGAGGGGGCTGTCCGATGTCCGGCACTTCAGGCTTCAGGCTAGCTTCTGACAAGGGTCCCTTGTCCGATGTCTGCTTAGACGTTGTAGGAATCAGTACCTCAAGCGCTGGGAGGTAGACCGCGCACGAAACAAGAATAGTCAGGAATCATCTGCTCCAAGGGCCTGTTGCAATCTACTTATCATGTCATGGTCTATAACAATGACTAGTAATCTAGGGGTAAAAGTGATGAGTTCTCATACTAACAAGCAACGATTTACAATCTGCAATTTGTACGTGTCCGTCCATTTACAAGCGTATCGTGCGCGACGTTGAAAGGCCATGTACACTTCTCTAAAGCAGCAAAATCAGAAAATTAGAAAGCAAAACTGCACCAATTGCACTGTATCTCCCTTACGCACTGGAACCACCAGTCAACTTGATCACTTGGCCTATTCGCATTCAAACATTAGCCCTCGTTGGATCCGACTCGAGGAAAAAATACTCACCGTTGATCCACTCGCCCTCAGCCGAGCTCAAAAAGGCAACCACCCGTGCGACATCGAGGGGCTTGCCTGTGCGGCCCAGCGGACACAGACTCGCAATGCCCTTGTCAATCTGCTCGATGGGCATGCCGGGATAGCCGTCGGGGGCGTAGTGCCACGAGTTCTCAAGGTACATGTCGGTGTAGATGCCGCCGGGGGCGACGGCGTTGACGGTCATCTTCTTAGTGCCGCAGTCGGCGGCGAAGCTGCGCGTGAAACCCTCGACGGCGGCCTTGGAGCCGGCGTACAGGGCGTGGTTCTTGACGCCGGTCATCTGGGCCGCGACGGAGGAGGTCAGGATCAGGCGGCCGCCGTGGCTGCCGTACTTGAGGGCGTGTTGAGCGACGAAGAACTGGGCGCGCGTGTTCAACCCAAAGACCTCGTCGTACAGCTCCGCGGTGACATCCTCCTCGGCGGAGAAGGCCTCCATTCCGGAGTTGGACATGACGATGTCGATCTTGCCAAAGTGCTCGATGGCCGTCTCGAACAGCCGCGTCACCTCGGCCGGCTGGGTCACGTCCGCCTGGATGGCGATGGCCCGAGGTTTGCCAGGGAGGGCTTCGATCTCGTCGACAACGCGCTGCGCGGCCGCCGCAGAGCGAGCGTAGTTGACCACGACCGAGGCCCCGTGGGAAGCGAGCTCTTTGGCGATGGCGGCGCCCAGGCCCCGGCCGGCACCGGTGACTAGGGCGACTTTGTCAGTGAGGTCGAAGGAGGTGGGCATTGTGGTTGATTTGGCGGCAAGATTGATGATGAGATGATTTTCTTGTCAATGGTGTAGGTAAATGATACAGTGTGGCGTGACAAGACCGCAATCCATCTCGATATAAAGTATCACACCTCTCGGATGGGAATCTCTCAGCCCGCCAAGCAGTCCGCGCTTATCTTCCGCATCGGACAATCAGCCAATCCCAATAACATCCTTCTCCGAACCAATCCATGTCAGCCGCAAGGCTGCCAACATGGCAGCTAAGAAATCGCCCCGAAGCACTCAGACAAAATAAGTCCAATCAGTTGCGTAAGGACAAGTGCAGTCCGACATGTCATCCTGCACGCCTGTGTCGAGCGGACTCCACCGGCCTTCGAGTCCGAAATCCTCCCCGACGTCAGCATCCATAAAATAACCCCTGTCAACAGTCAATACCACCAACGCACTCACTATGTTCAGCCCATACTGCTACATCTCCCCGTTCTATCTCCTACAATCCCCCTCCAATGTCTTCCCGGCTCGACCCCACCACCCTCGATCTGTCCACAAAGAGCATCCCCGCGCGCGAGTCTCGGGGCACGTATCTGAGCTCAACAGTCACTCGAGCCCCCGCCACCGAAGCATGGAACGCCGTGGTTAACACCGGCACCTGGTCGACCTGGAACACCTTCTGCCCCGGAGCTACCATCCGCGCGCAGCCTGACCAGAGACAGTCAACGCGGCTTCAGCTCGGCACGAAGATGACCATCCATCTCAACTGGAACCCCCGGGGACCCAAGACCAAGCCGGCAGATGTGGCCCTGGTGGTGACCGAGTTCGACCCGCCCAAGGACGGGCGACAGACACCTGCTCGCATCGCGTGGGCGACCGATCCCTCGGGCAAGGGCTTGCCCGCGTGGCTGTTGTATGCAGAGCGCGTGCATGAATTCCATGAATTTATGGAGGAGTCGGCAAACGGGGAACCGAAAGGGAACGGGCATCAGCGAGTCACGCAGGTGGTGTCGTGGGAGTCGCAGCGGGGGCTGCTGGCGTATGTGGTCAAATGGTTCATGGGGAAGAAGTTCCGGGCGTGTCTGCAGCTGCAGGCTGAGGATTTGACGTCTTTCGTCGAGAAAGGGAGAGAGAGTAAGGGTGAACGATGAGAGCGGATGGAAGGATTGTTTTCTTTCCCTGATATATTCTGTTCTGCTATTCTTTCCTCGCTGCTGAGGCTTCTAATGTAATTTCACGCTGCCGGTCGGGTGGTACCACCAGGTATATGGCTTCTTCTTCTGAGTATCGCCATTCTTAGACATGAGTATCATGAGTATCATGAATACGTGGAGAACACATGCAAGTGGAAGGAGAAAAGGAAAGAGAAAAGCGTCGGTGAGACGTGTTGTAGTGTGCAAGAGAGAAGAAACGTGACGCTGCTTCACCGGTCGGCTTATCGATTGTATTGCTTGCTGCCTGGGGCATCAAGGCCCACCGGTTTGGCGGATTTGTTGTTGCATCGTAGAGGGTGTGGCCATCAGTCACAGTAAGGTCAAATTATTAGTTGACATTGTACAACAATATGGCGCTTTGGAGTATATTATGACTATTCGAATGTATAAGATGCCCTTGATCCACTCCCGCTGGGTAAACAAACCCCGCGATCTGCTTCGAATCGAGTAGTCCGGATAGCCGAGCAAGAGATATATAATGCTGAGAGAGGTTGAAAGCATAAATCTCAGCCATCACGGCAAAACCTTCCAACAGAACCGCCCAATAAACCAGTGAATCTCCCGGTCGCGCTTACTACTTCTTTCAATGGAAAGAACCTGCAGTTCCCGCCAGATGCTTGGAGAGTGATAGTCACCACTCAGTCGTGATTTGACGGGGAGGCGGTGCTCAGTACGACTCACCATCGGTATCAGCAAGTTCACACTTGAGGCTCCACTCTTGACGGGCAAGATGTATTCTTACGCGCGTGGGGAAGGGAGTAACAGATTCATTGGCAAGCATACCCAACAAATCTCCACCCCATAGCGTGCGTGAGGCTGTGGGAGTGGCGCTGGGCGGGCTGATCCGCCCTCGGCCCGGGCATGGGCATGGAGGTCCTACCGCATATGAACTCCGGGCTTCTTGGCTGACATACCCTTTCGCGATCTTATGACCACTGCTTGTCTTGGCTGGATTTAGTTGGATGTTGGAGTTGATCTTATTGGTCCGTTCGTTCTTACTTGCTACAATAGTACATGTGTACATGTGTTGTACGTTAGCGCTGGGCCTGTCCCCAGAGACACTAAAATCAATGCCGAGAGAGACCTGTCGGACGATCTGTCCACCATCCAACGGATATCGGATGAAATGCGCTGAGCTGTATACCTGACTTGCCCAAAGATCAGTCATGGTGACGTCGGATGTTAGCATGCCAAGATGGGCGTGGCAGTGTTGTGCCTGTTGCCCTGAATGACTCGTGGTGCACAGCTTGGCGCCACTGCTGCCCAGCATCCATACTTGATTATATGTATGCTTAGGGCTTCAACTGCCGCATAAAAAGCCCCTAGCACGCACGCCAACTACCAAGCTTAAGTAACCATCTCGAGCCCATTTCCCGACCCATTCCATCAGAATCTACAAACATGCAATCACTCAAATATATCTTCTGCCTCTCCCTCCTCTCCCCACTGGCAACCGCCCAATCCTCCAGCCAGGCTAACTGCACCGTCTTCAACTGGGACCACAATGAAGCCTACCTGAAAACCTACCCTCCCCAGCGTGTCTCCGCCGCGGAGACCTGCTCCAGCGGCACAAACCTGACATGCGCCCTCACGGCCGCCGGCGACGCAAGCTACACCGCCCGCACCAACCTCACCAGCCTCTCCGTCACGACGTTCGCAACAGTTGTCAACGAGACGGTAGGAAATGCGACACTGACCGAGGAGTTCAGTGACTCGACCGTGGGTGCGATCGACGGCACGCGCCTGCTCCGCCCAGGCCAGTCGGCCTATCTGAACTTCACGGCCTACCAGTACTGCTACACGGGCACGGTGGAGGGCTGCACGTCCGGGGTGAACAATCAGACGGCGGTGGAGGCGTGCGCGCCGCTGTACCATACCAGTGCGGATGATTCGGTGGTGATGGATGGGTTTCTCACAGTTGTCAATGTGAGTCAAGGGCAGGTCGGGCAGTTCAAGGATCCGTATGAGAATCAGCAGCGCGGGGAGGGGGGAGTCGTCAGTGTGGGAAGGGCTGGGTGGGGGGTTGTGATGGTTGGGATTTTGGGTGTTTTGGTGGTTTAATGTGAAGTAGGATATGCTTTCTTCATCTTGTATCGCTTTAATGATGGTTGGTCTGGTTCAAGATCAGATGTGAAATGCCATTGTCTTGCTTGTTTTTCGGGATTGCAGCTTGGCCAACCCGCCGTCAAGCCACAGTGAGGCACTCTCGACATATCTCATTGGATTCTAGAAGACAGTATGCGTTCCAATGCCCATCCTTAATCTTGATCTGTGATTCACACTACCAGTCTAGTGGCAAAGCTAATCAGTCACCATATACTCCGGAATCGCGAGTATCCGTAGATGTCTGTAAACGTGCAACCAACACAGTATGCTTGCTAGAAGCTCAGAAAATGAATAATGATGCATCATGCCATTTCCCTTCGATATTTGGTCGTTGACCACACTATTTTCGGCCCGTCCCTCTTCTACTCGGTAATCGCTCCTTGAATTCCACGCGTTGCCCATGCAAGAGACCGGATAGGGGTAGTGGTTGAGGGCAGTGCCACCAGGTTCTGAGTTGAAGAATGTTCATAAGGCAGTGCTCATGATAGCATGTTTTGGTCGCAAAGAAGCTGACGCAAGGTAAATTGCAGTTTCAATCAACTATCGAGCAATTCATTACGAAGCGTAATCGTCTATAGTAAGTGCCTGCCAACTCAGCTGCGCCTCTACAGAGATCTCATTGGCGTAACACATAATTTCCAATCTCAAAATCATAGTACATTCTCTTCATATCAAAGCAAACTCATACCGCTCAGGCCCTAACTATCCCTCGACCCAACACGGGTATGGCTACTAGCTGCCAGCCAAATCAGATTAGCATTTACCCCAAGTCCAGATATCTTCCACGCCGGAAATCCTTACCAATAGACCCCTTCCCCCCTTCAAGTAAGCATGATAATCCGCCTCCTCCTCGCCCCCCAGTGACCCCGCCGTCAGCACCGCCGTATCTCTGTGTGCGGTACTCCGACCCAACACACTCCGCAGCCCCGTGATCGTCCCACGCGGGATGCGCGGAAACCCCCATCGATTCTTGTCACAGACCGGGGCAGTCCGGGGCCGGCTCTCCACCTCCGAGCCATCCATCCGCTGCTTCCACGTCCGCTTGATGCGGCTGAGGTACCCGCGCACGCGGTCGGAGACCTCGTTCGACCCGATCAGGGTCGACCGGTAGGCGGTGATGGAGGCCATGGTCACCCCGATGCAGGCCTCCGCGTGCAGCCAGAATACCTGCCACGGGTAGTCCAGGGCGTTGCGGTAGTAGGTCCCCGCGGCGCGGATGATGGAGCAGGCGAACATGAAGCCGGAGAGGCAGACGAAGCAGCCGATGCCGAGTTTGGTGAGCGTGCGGAGCTGGACGTTGCGGAGGAGGAGGATGGGGATGGTGACGACTTGGTTGGATGGTTAGCAGGTGGACTGGGAGAGGAAGAGGAGGACGGGATGAAAGGGGCTAAGCCAGACGCACTGATTAAATCGCTTAGAGCGTCGAGGCAGGGGAAGGCCCAGAAGGCGGCGAGTAGTGAGGTTCGTGACACGGGAAGATCGGGGAAGCATTTCTCTGGGTTGGGTGAGGTTGAGTTAGATGCTGACATACGGCTATCCTGAGGGAAGATTGAGTGGGGCTTTGAGGAGACGTACTGCCTGCCTCCTCCCCGAGATACGGGCATGCGATGAGCTCTTCGCCCACGACGATCGCGATCCAGGATGCGACCGAGAAGACGATCGCGAAGCGATAGTACCAGATCAGCTTCCGCGAGACGTTGCGCAGCAGCGGGTAGAAAAACGCGAAGTAGCACCATTTGACGGAGAAGACCACCGTCCACAACAGCGTGATATACCCGAGCTGCCACTTGGACTGCTCCACTAGTTTGTCGTAGTGCTTGATGGCGAGCGCATACGCGGCCGAGTTCCCGGAGAGCACCCCGAACAGGATGTAGACGATCTGCACCCGCAGGTAGAGCATGGCGGTCACCACGCACAAACAGACGAAGGCGAGGATGAGAAAGCCATCGTCCAGGTAGAGTCGTCTTCGGGTGAAGAGGCGGATGAAGATGCGTCCGGAGAAGGATAGGAATGCCAGGCCGAGAAGGACGCCGATTGCGATCTGGTCTGGATGTTAGGGGAACTTTCGAGTGGTGGGTAGAGGGTAATGGGTAGTGGGTAGTGTCGTCAGCTCACCTTGAACTGATACAGTGTAATTCGTCCGGCACTGTCGATAGACTTCTCCGCTTCGGCAATCTGTTCCGGGCTCAGGCTCGAGGCAAAGGCATTGATCACGCCTGAAGATACATCCATGATGGTTGGGGTTCTTGCTGGTGTCACTGATGATGCTGATCCAGCGTGTTCACAGGTGGTGCCTGTGAGGCCTCTTGAGTAGATTTCACCTGGAAGTATCAGAAACGATCCAGTGGCCGCAGCAACATTTATACGCTATTTTGGATGTGAGTGTACTACAGGTAAGGTGGTCAAGCCTGCGTCTGTAGTGGGATGCATGCCGCCAAGCCCTTGTGCCTGAGTGGGGGCGCAACCAAGAAGTAAGCCTGTAAGCCCAGCACTGCCTTCTCATACCCCAGATCAACCATCTCCATGACGCTGAAAGTCACACGGTCCGTGCCAATCGCCCCCACCGAGCTGTCAAAAGAATGTCCGAAGTGCCTTGTCGTGGTCAACACCGCACTGCTATCTACCGTATCCTAAGTCACGCATCTCGAGACACTGCCCGGAAGGGGCGGGGCTGTATACATCAAGCAGCAGCAGATACAGTGAATTAAAACAAGGAAAAGAAAAAAAGATTCTATTTTATGGGCCCGACAGAATGTCGGCAGATACCTATCATACAGACCACCATCAAGGTACTGTACATACCGTGCATGAAACATGGTGGTCAGAACCTCTGCATCACAACGCCATATTCTGAGGTTTGCAATGGGGCGCAGAGCTAGTGGGTGCAGAGGACAGTTCTGTCATTCCAATATCGCTCGACCACCACCACTTTGGCTGCAGTTAGCCCTGTCACAAACTGATTGGGCTCTACGAAAATTTACCTTGCGGATTTGGAATGTCTTATGGATTGATTCTCAGCGATTGCTATTCTGCCATCTATACTAGGTTGCTTCCACGGCTCAGTCACTCTCTTGCTCAGTTGGCAGCTTCATCGTGATCATCAGTGGCTCTTCCCAGAAGCGAGTGAAGAGCTCATTAAAGACTTCAAACGCCGGACGTGCATAGGTCTTGCCTTCGTGCCAGCCAAACACGACTGCGAACACAGACATACTGCCCATATCCACAATCCATGCTCCGCTATCTACCGGGTAGCCCGCCATCGACAGGGTATACATCCGGCCGACGGAAGGCATGTCGATTACGTTGAGCTTGCGACTCTTCAGCCGAAGCGGACGGTGGTTGACTGCAACATGCAGTCGACCCGCCGGGACGCTGCACTTGGAGATCGAGTGCAGCGAGGTCGTATCCTCGTTGAGAAACAACGCCTGATCATCCAGACGGACCAGAGCCCAATTCCCTTTCAGATGCCAGAACTTCGGGTCTGCTGCACAGAGACCCGGGAGGTCAGGGATCGCCCCGATCCGCTGGTCCGTCTGGTAATCATAGGCCTCGAAGTCGAACAATGGGCACAGTTTCACGTCACTCGAACAGAGCGGGGAGTTCACGGTCTCGTCATAACTCGAAAGGGGCGCCCACAGGGCTTCCTCGTCCTGCTCCTCGGACACAGGAGTCTTCTCCTCGATAAACATGGCCTCTTGGTCTGGGATCGCTAGGAATGGGCGAAGGACTGTCAGTCCGTAAAAGGTCCCATACAGAGAGATGATCCCACCTATGGTGGCTTCTCGCCGCGGATCACCTTTTTGGCCGACGTAGAATCGAGATCCGCAAATCCTGGAAGCCATTTTCACTAGCTTGACAACCGAGTATGGGGATTGGGGTTCGAAATCAGCAGGCTGTTCACTTAGGGCCGCTTGTATTTAACCTCTTCGTCCAGCTGTAGCTTTTGAGCTTTTCTGTGCGTTTCTTTATAATGATGCACACAGTCTCGCGTTCACTGAGGCAGCTCATTATATCAATGTTGACACCTCCCGCTACCATTCTTTGAGAACGTCCATTGTCACCTCCCGCCTTTCTAAACCTATGATTTGCTCGACCAAGAACCGTTATGCTTATCTGATGCCCTAGAGCCGTCTACAATTGTTCTGCAGCTATGAGCTACTGGCTGTTTGATGGCACCTAGTTCTATTTGCAGTACTAGAGGCCGGACCGCAACGCGGTGCGGATGCGCCACTCGGCAGCCCGATATTGATGCAAATGTCTGGAAGCGATCCACCGGCACACGTACTGCTAGTAACCTATGCCAATCCCCAATCCCACTCGTAACCTTAACCGTGCTTTTGTATCTCAGAAAAACAGAACCATACTTTTCTTGCCAACCATCTACAGTCGAATGCTCTAGATCACCGCACTCGCTTCATGAACCCGACAATGCGCCCAAACATGTCGACAGGGTTGGAATACATGGGGAAGTGGCCACTCTGGGGGATCTCCGCCAAGGCGACGCCATGCGCGCGCAAGGTGCCCAGATACGACAAGCCGCGGTTCAGCTCGCCGTACATGAACATCCGGGGACACCCGAGCGCCAGAAAGCGGTCCATCAGGTCCCCGTCATCGGACAGCTCCACCATGGACCTGAAGATGGGCTCGATCGCGGCGGGCCGCACGCGCGCGGGCAGCGTCGACGCGTACAGGGCGGTGGAATAGGCCGGGCTGCCGCGCGTGCGCTCGATGAACATCTCCAAAAGTTCCTCCGGGGTGGACCCCGGGTGGGTGAAGATCTGGCGGCCGAGGAAGCAGTCCTCCGGGGCCAGGTTGCCCTCGATATCGACGAAGCTGAGGATGCGGTCCGGGTGGCGATCGGCCAGCATCAGGGCCGTCAGCTCGCCCATCGAGTGGCCGATCAGGTGGAAGCGGTCGACGCCGTAGTGGTGCAGCACGGCCTCCGCGGTGGCGACCATGAAGGCGATGGTGGCGGCGCTCGGGTCGGCGGTGTGTGTCGCGGCGCACCCGGGCGCGTCGTAGGCGAGAAGGTGTGCTCTTTCAGCGGTCGCTCGAAGACCAGATCGTGTAGCTCCTCTTTGCACGAGCCGAAGCCGTGCAGCCACAGGATGGCAGGTTGCCCACCCCGGCGGATCAGCGCGGATATCTGCAGGGGGTTCCCTTCGACGCTGATCGGGAGAGTCTCGTATTCGGGGGTCTCAGGATTCATTGTGTTGGGGTTTCTCTTTGTTTCGCGTTCTGAAAGGAAATACTATGAAAGAAGTTGCTGCCCTATAGCTGATATCTGGTGGTGTGTGTGGCCTCGGTCACAGTCTCAACTCGGGGCGTAGGGCTGCCGACTAACGAACAATCGAATGTTCGCAGACCGATGGAGATTTCGGGTTTTCAGGAAACATCCATCCAACTGGTACAAGTCAGACTCATGGCTTGGCAGCATGAGTCGCAGGCAGATAGGATGGAAATCATAGCGGTAGCTGAACTAGTTAAATAGTTGAACAAAGCCAAATCGAGTCAGCGAACAGGTTTTATCCGACTTCTTCTGGCTGTCTATAGTCACGTGGCTCTCTCTCTCTCTCTCTCTCTCTCTCTCTCTCTTCTCGTATCACGTGGGATGGGATGATATCATCGCCCTCTTTCTCTTTCTCTCTCTCTCTCTCTTTCTCTCCTCATCAAGATTCGAAATCTCTTGCTTTCTCCCTCCACCCATCCGCGGTCCCAGACCCTCAAAACAAGGCTGAGGCTGTTGCGCCTTTCGGAGAACTCCCGAACAAGCCAAGAAGAAATTGGACCCTGATGAGCTAGCTACCTACCTATTGAAAGAACCCGGTACGAAGGAACGGCGTGAGCGACCCACCGGTTCCTTGTTCATCAGTCAATCACCCGCGTGTCCCGAGCTTCCGATGATGTCCAATGAAGCAATGGGCCGTGGGCCCAAAGGGCCCTGATGGCGTCACTGCCCGTAGTTACTTGAGTCTGATTCTTCGATAATGCGGTCTCGCGACCTGCACGTTTTTTCCTCTCTTTCTGCTTCCATTCGCCTTGATCCTTCTCCAAATTATCCTTCTCGATTCTCTTTCTTGCTTTTCCTTCTTTCCTGATCAGTCATATCACTGCCGCCCTCTACAGACACAACTCTCAATCCAAGCTCCAACTTCCTCACCCTTGCATGGTCTACCCCATCTGCCAGCACCCATGCCGTCCCACCATGGCTCGACAGCCGACGACTGGCCTGAGGATCGGCTCGCCCACGACGGGCCCTCTTCCAGCGGTCATCATCACTCCAATCGGCGCGCCCATTACCATGAAAAAGGTCTAAATACTGGGGTGCGGATTATGGGTGCGTGTTACGACAACCCCGTCCTGTGTGACATTAGCTAACAGTTATACTCATTCTCCAGACGATGGCCGTCTCGATATCAAATTCCGCGACCGCAAACCCTGGGTCACCAAGATCCTGCAACACCTCCAAACCCAACCACCCGAACTCGAGAAAGGCAAGAACAATTTTTGTATAAATGCAGACGATTGGGACGAGGAACACCAAAGCCCCCTCAAACTCAACATCGTCATCCAAGTGGTCGGCTCCCGCGGGGATGTACAACCGTTCATCGCGCTGGGCAAGGTGCTCAAGTCCCACGGCCATCGCGTCCGCCTCGCGACCCATCTGGCTTTTCGAGAAGTCATCGAGGACGAAGGGCTCGAGTTCTTCAGCATTGGGGGGGATCCCGCGGAGCTGATGGCGTTCATGGTCAAGAACCCCGGGTTGATGCCGCATATGAGCACGATACGAAGCGGGGCGATCCGACGGCGACGGCGAGAAATGAAGACGATATTCTCGGGATGCTGGCGGTCATGCTGGGAAACCGGCGACGGGACAGGCATGCATCACATCCCCGACGATCCGTGGAGCGAGACGGGCGACTACAAAACCAAGCCGTTTGTGGCCGATGCGATCATCGCCAACCCGCCCAGTTTTGCGCACTTGAGTTGTGCGGAGAAATTGGGCATCCCCCTGAACATGATGTTCACGTAGGTGTTTTGAGGCCACGCGCTTGGATTTGGTTTGTGGCTGACAACGTGATTAGAATGCCATGGTCGGCCACGCAGTCATTCCCCCATCCGCTGGCCACGGTGCGGTCGCAAAACACCAAGCCGTCCGCGGCGAACTTTGCGTCGTATGCGATCGTCGAAATCATGATGTGGGAGGGTCTGGGAGACTTGATCAACAAGTTTCGCAAGCGCGAACTGGGGCTGGATCCGTTGGATGCTATCCGTGCGCCGAGTATAGCACATCAATTGCGAATCCCATTTACATATCTATGGTGAGAGACAATATCCCTGTTCATGATGACTCTCATTGACCATTCTAGGTCGCCGGCTCTCCTGCCCAAGCCTTTGGACTGGGCCGAGAATATCGATGTGGTGGGTTTCTCGTTTCTTTCTTCAGGGTCCGACTACAAGCCTCCGGACGACCTCGCCTCCTTCCTCAAAGCAGGGCCTCCTCCCATTTATATCGGTTTCGGATCCATCGTCGTCGACAACCCAGGCGCATTGACCAGGATCGTCTTCGAGGCCATCAAGGCGAGTGGCCAACGGGCCATTGTGAACAAGGGCTGGGGGAATCTCGGAGCCGACGAAAAGGACATTCCCGACAACATCTTGATGATCAGCAAGGCTCCACACGACTGGCTGTTCCAGCACGTTTCCTGCGTGGTGCACCACGGTGGGGCCGGCACTACGGCCGCCGGCCTGGTGCTGGGCTGTCCCACCGTGATTATCCCCTTCTTCGGCGATCAGCCCTTCTGGGGCTCCATCGTCGCGCGTGCGGGTGCGGGTCCACAGCCGATTCCCTACAAACAATTGACGACGGAGAAGCTCACGGAGGCGATCAAGACGGCCTTGGAGCCCCCCACCAAAGAAAAGGCCAAGGAAATTGGTGAGCAGATGCGCTCGGAACAAGGTGTGCGGAATGCGGCCATAAGCTTCTATCAACATCTCGACCTGCAGAGTCTGCAGTGCTCAATCTGTCCCCATCTTCCGGCCGTATGGTGGGTTCGGCATTCTCATATCAAGCTCAGCACATTCGCGGCGGCAGTGTTGGTCGAGACGGGGTTGATCGACCCACGGAACGTAGTCCTGTGAGTTATCATGTACCACATCTGCAAGCAATTCACGCTAAACTCCACCAGATACCGGTCGATCGAATACGACACGAACCGCGACCCTCGCGGTCCCCTGACCGCCGGCGCGGAGGTTCTCTACGGCATCGTCTCCGGGTTCGTCAGCGGCATCGCCGACGTCCCCAACGGCGTGGCAACGATGTTCTCCACATCCCGGGAGCATCGGCACCGTCGCCGGAAGGAATGGAAGCACGTGCGCGAACTGCAACAGCGGGACGGTGCGTCCCTCTACCAGCGCACGAAGTCCTCTCTTGATTCCGGGGTGGGGGAAGAGAGCAGCCAACCGAGCCAACGCGACCTCCGGAAAATGCGCGCTCAAGCGAACCGGCCCACCAACACTGCAAGCCACTCCCGTCTATCATCCGACGAGTCCGACGAGGCCTACGTCTCCGCCGAAGAAGACCATCCCAGCGACAGCGCCAGCGACTCGAGTCGCTCCGACCATGGCGAAGAGACCAGCCCCCGGACGAGCTCCGGTAGCTCCCAGACCACGCTAGAACCAGACACGGACCCGGTGATCGGCGAGGAACTCGACCTGGAGCGGACGATCACCCGGCTCCGCACGCGCGAGGAGTCCGGCGCGAAAGAGTTCTTCGCGGAAGCCACCTATCACGCCGGGAAGATGGCCAAACACATCCTCAACTGGACGATTATGATCCCCACCGACGTGACGCTGAGTCTGTCCAAGGGATTCCACAATGCCCCGAAGCTGTACCATGATTCCACGGTGGAGAAAACGCCCAAGGTGCTGGGTGTGAGGAGTGGGTTCCGCGCGGCAGGCACGGTAGGGTTTCCCCCCGTTGGAGCAGGACAGAGTCTTGTGTGGCTGACAGCATGAGTAGGAATTCACCCATGGTTTCTACCACGGTGTGACCGGCTTGATCACCCAGCCGATGCTGGGCATGGAGAAATCCGGCGGCGGCGGCTTCGTCAAGGGAATTGGGAAGGGTGTGGGCGGGGTGTTCTTTAAGCCTACTGCCGGTAAGTGGCTTCGCTGGTGTACTGTTTTTCAGGGGGAGGTCAATGTGCTGATCGAGGGCGGTAGGCATCTGGGGCCTCGCAGGATACCCGCTGGACGGGATCCACAAGAGCTTGCGGAACTCCCTGGCCAAGAGCAAGACGAAGGAGATCCTCACCTCGCGGATCAAGCAGGGCATCGAGGAGATGAGTGCCGCGACGCCGCAGCAGCGGGCGGAGGTCATTCAGCGGTGGAATCAGCTGGTGAACGAAGAAAGGGGTGCTGGGGTGGATAGCGGTAGTGTAGATCCGCATTCATGATGACAATGAGGGTGAGCGAGGGAACTAGAACCTAATCAGAAGTATAATACTTTACAGTACAATGACTCGGACTATGTTAAATGAAGTTTCAGAGCTACAAGCACAACAACTACACTGGCTTTCTATTTTTGAGCCTAGGGTATGCACTTGCCCAAAGGTTCAGCACCGGGATTTCCCCCCCCCTCCTCTTTTCCCTCCTGGACTACGACTCCTCGTCTCTCACCCCGACCCAGCTTGGCGAGCTAGGGCTTACGGCGACAGACGCCATCCTCGATATCCTCCCATTAGCAGGATGCCAGGTGCATGGTTTCAATTCCAAGGTTCCGGCCGTTGAGTCGCCGGCCCGTCTTGCCGGCAGGTGCGGACAGCAAAGGGATATATGTTTTGTCGATGACGAAATGGAATGGAGTAACGCACCGGATAAGAAAGCATCGTGAGTCACGCGAGTTCAGAAAATTGAAACTATTAACGAAGCTGATTTAAGAGTTAGTAGAGTTGGAAGAAACAGAGCCTGCGCCCCCCAAAAAATCAATAAAGATTATCGCAGCATGGTCGCACGATGGGCCAGTGGTCAAGACAACGACGGGTATTTTTATTTCTGGTACATAGACTCAGAACTGGCCGCAGCTTACATCAACCAGCAAGGTGGCCGAGCGGTCTAAGGCGTCAGGTTAAGGTCCACCTTAGCAAACAGCTTCCAAAGCTTCCTGATCATCGTCAGATGGCGTGGGTTCGAATCCCACCCTTGTCATGTCTTTTTGGCTGCCCCGCCTCCCTCTCAGCTTTGTTTTCTCTTCGGCGAAATCATTGCTGCCTGTTTGTTGCGCTTCATTCGATTTTCCTTCTTATTCTTTTGTCCCCCCCCCTTCTTAACCAGAAACCGTCAATACCAACTATGAACCGCGACAATGAATGACATTCACCCGCTTTCCCCTCTCCACCCGCCGTATACACCCCCTGTTTAGCCCTATTACAAGCAACCCCTACAGAGTACAGTACACCCACTTTCAACCAGACCCCAGCAAAAGCTCGTGTCAATACAGACACTCATTAATTCATCTCAGAGAGAATGGATTTGATTAATTTATACAACGAATCTAGTCAACACCTCACCAAGCAACAACCAATATCCACCAAACCATCCACGTCTAACACACAACCACACCTAATCTTGTCTTGTCATACCCCCCTGACAGAAAGAATCTAGGCAGACTCAACGCACTGGTAGTAGTAAGGGTTCCACTGCTTGCAGGTCCAGCCATCAACGCAGGTGGTGGCACCGGTCCAGCCCTGGCCACCGCAGCGCTCGTACTTGCCGGCGGTGCCGGAGGCGGAAGAGGCAGAGGAAGCAGCAGCGGTGGCGGCAGCGGTGGAAGAGGTGGTCTCGGCGACGGCGGCGGCGGTGGTGGCAGCGGAGGAGGACTTGGTCTTGTTGCGGCAGGCAGTGGCCTTCTTGGTGGAGGCGACGGCCGTGGCGAAGGTGGTGGGGGCAGCGGTGGTGGTGGTAGGAGCCACGGCGGCGGCGGTGGAGACGGCGGCGACGGCACCCTTGGTGGTCACGGCCTCGATGGAAGCAGAGGAAGAGGAAGAGGAGGTGGCAACAACGGCAGCGGCGGCGGAAGAGCTGGAAGAGGAAGAAGAGGAAGAAGAGGAAGAGCCAGAGCTAGTGCCATCCCAGACGGAGGGACCGGGGATGGGATAGCTGTCGAAGGAGCCGTACATGTTGAAGAGGATACCGGGGTCAGTGGCGGAGTAGGCGCCGGGCAGGCTGACACCGTCGGGCAGAGTGTTGGCACCGTCGGAGGTGACCTTGAACTGGACACACTCCATGTAGAACTGGGCGCCGCCCTCGTTCTCGGCCTCGTGGAGGGCGATGATCTCCGGGCGGAAGAGGTAGTCGCCGGCGGGGACGTCGGGGACGGTGATGTTGTGCTTGCCGCTGTTGGCGATCAGGGTGTCGACGGCCCAGGTGCCGTCGGAGTATCCGTCCTCGGCGATCTTGACCCAGTTCTTGCCGCTGCTGCCGGCGGTGGTCGGGGCCATGTAGACCATGACGGGGCCCTTGTGGGAGGAGGCGATGATGTCGTCGGAGGCGTCCCGGCTGTCGTGGTGCCACTCGAAGGTGACGACGTCGCCGCCCTTGACGGAGAGGGTCTTAGCCGCCGCCTGGTCGCCGTTGACGTTGCAGGTGATGTCGGTCGAGGTCACGTCCTTGACGGGGCTGTTGCTGGGGGGAGACCGGATGTAGCCACTGGCACTGTTGCCCAGACCCTGGTCCTCGCCGTTGATCCAGACGGCGAAGACGGTGGTGTGGGCATCGACCATCTTGGCTGCTGCTGCCAGAGCGAGCATACCGAAAGTAGAGGACTTCATTTTGGAAGAAGAGTGGTAAAAAAGAAGGACTGAAAAATGAAGGGAAGGGAGGGAGTGAATGAATGAATGGAAGGAAGATGACCTGCAGAAAAAGAATGAACTGCTATCCAAGCTGAGGAAGGAAAGAAAGGAATTGCACAGCAGCAGTAGCAAGGAGAAGGGTCTTATACCAGGGCCCTTGGAGCAGGGTCTACTCCCGAATCCGTATGAAATTATGAATGCCGGCGAACTGGAGCGGAGCCCGCCAAGACGCGATGTTTCATCTTAAATGCTGCCCGCCTCCACCGGATAGCGTCTGGCTCGCTCTCATCCGCCGAGGCAAGTTCCCTGCCAAGCCCTTTTGTGGCAGCGGCGGCTTGGCTTCATTCGAGACAGGAGGCCAACAGGCAAGACAGGACCCGGACGGGGTCCGGACGGGGCCCGGGTGCCTCTCCTGGGTCTTACTCTCTAACTCGACACCGCCGCAGGCAATCTCCCCAAGGGCAACATGGGTGGTTCGATCGCTCTTGGCTGCTTGACTGGTCACAATGTCCGAGGGTGAACCTGGAATCCTGGAATCTTCCTGGGCCCTGGGCTCGAGGAGTACGGAGAGAAGTTGTCCACAATGTGACAGCGTCTGGTGGCGTTGACCCGATTGAGACCATGTCTTGCCCTAATCTGCCCGTTTGGTCTCGCCCGAAGGAATCCACCCAGAGGCCTTGGCGGACCCATCGCCCATGCAAAAACATGCCACAATCTCCCCTCAAAGGCTTCATGGGAGAGCAGCGAACTGTATTGTTCTTTTACGTCACTTAATCACTCGAGTTGATTGAGTTCAGTTCCAGTCGAATGCGCGGAGTTCTGGATTGTTTTTGAACCCCTTCCTCCAATCCAACCCATGCCTAATTATTCGTTCTGGTCTGGAGCTAGGCAGATTGGCCCAAGGTGCTTATATCTAGCATGGAAAGTAAGTGGAGGAAGCTGCAGGGGGAGCATTTGCAAAAGGAATGTTGCTCATTGGTCGAGAGTGGACTTCTAGGCGCGCGCAATCAATGTGCATGAACTAGTTCTCCCAGAACTACCCCTGCAATTGATGAGTGCTGACAGTAATAGTAGCTACTCTCTCTCCGATCCATCATCCATTCAATACATCGTATTTTTGGTTAGTTGTGTTAAAGGAGTCCCCGGAGAAGTATTTCTCCTGTATGTCTTGTCAGTATCGGATACGATGCCTGCGGACCCGGTGGGCATGCATCACGGGAGCGTACATAGTCGAAGTAGTTCCGACCTAGCTAGTCATTTGAGGTAGTGCATGTAGGCTCTTGAAGGATATATGAATGCACAAGCGGGTGTATGATAATAAAGTATCCATTTCACCGGCCTCGACGGGCGAGGATTCCCGGGTACTTGCTCCCACAATGTGCAGTGAACTCAGGGCCAGCCCCTGAATACTTGAGAGCCGGGCATCTCTCTTCCTTTGGTTTATCACACGGTATCTTTCAGAGATGCGCAAGTTGCGCATTATCTCATTGGCCCAATGCTTCACCCGGCTGTGGGCCGTCTATAATGGCCACTCCCGCTCATGCCCTCCATCTAACATTGTCAACCAATTATCTTAACCACCATTGCACCTAATCCATACCACTCGTCGTTACGTGCGCCGTGCACTGCGGGCGATTTATGGCCTAACGGCTCGAACAAGGGCGATAGTACCCCCCGGTCCAACACTTCGAGGGCTGGCACGCCGGGTGTTGCTAAAAGCCCAAGTAACTCCGCCAACACCCGGACTTTAGCATATATACCTGGCTAGGCTGCGGTCGCAAAGGAAAACAAGCGAGCAAGTCACAGACAAATCAACTTCGTGTATTCTATGCTAGTATCACAACTCACAGTTTCCAACCGCCTTCCCAGCGATGCGACTCTAGTACGCAGCATAGATGAAAGCCAACTGATCAATCTCATCGCCATCCTGCCCCATATACCCCACAATGACATACCCGTCATCCGCGGTAAAGGTGGTACAGTTGCTCGTGGCGGTACCGGCCTCCAAGACATTGCCAGCGCTCGTGGTAGCCTTGATATAGAAGTTGCGGGTGTGGCTGTTGTACTGCCCGGTGCACAGCTCCGCCTGGGTCCAGTACTCGCCGGTGCCCAGCGTCAGCGACACGGCCGTCCCGCCAGTGCCGCCGTGGCTAAAGGTGGTCCCGTCCGTCAGCTCGAGGGCGACGGCATCCAGGCGGTCGGCGCCGCGGAAAGTCAGCACGGAGGCCACCGGCGCGGCGGGCAAGCTGGGGAGGTCGTTGAACCAGTCGCCGTGCGGCCCGCCGGAGAACTCGCTCTGGCGGAGCGACGAGGACAGCGTCCAGCTGAAGTCGACCAGCACCGGATTGTGGTCGGAGAGCACATCCCCCAGATACTCCGGGTCGGTGTTGAGGAATTCCTCGCCGTCGTAGCGGAAGCTGTCGGCGGCCAGGGTGACGAGGCTGGAGCCCCGGTACAGCACCTTGTCCACCGTCTCGCAGGTCTCGTTGGTGGAGGGGTTGTCGCATATCAGCGAGTCCGCGCCCGCGATCGGGTACACCCCGCCCATCTCCAGCTCGACCCAGACGTCAGTGAGGCTGTTCTGCGACCCGAAGACGCGGATGCCCGTGTCGGCGCTGCGGGTGTAGCGGCTGTTGGTGTCGCCCATGATGACCACGGCGTTGCCGGTGGACCAGGTGTCGATGTAGTCGGCGACTTGTTGGAGGTTGGCGTTACGGGCGGTTTCGTCGCCGTCTTCGGTGCTGTGAGGTTGTCTGTTAGTTCATGATATGGCGGGCACAATAATGTTGATGGAGGATGGTGTCTTACCCTGCATCGGCGTGCAGATTGTAGAAGTCAATGTACACTCCCTCCGACGGGTTCCAACGCATGAAGGTGAAGCCCTTGGGGGTCAGGCAGTCCGACTCGGAGGCGTCCGAGCACGTGTCCCACTTGACACGCGTGAAGTCAACCCAGTCGTAGTTGGAAATGGTGTTCAGGCCACTGCCTATGCCGGCACCGCCAGAAGTAGCCGTGCGGTAGGGGTGGTCGTCGTACTCGTAGATGTATGCATGGTAGTTGAAGTCCTTGATCTCGATGAGCGAGCTCCTCAACCCACAATATGGTGGGATGTACAGTACATACCTCCTGCATCTGGATAATATCATAGCCATACTCTGCAAAGTACTTGCCAAGCTCCTCCGCGTTCTCAGTCTTCGTGCCATTCACATCATTACTGTTAAGAATCTCAGACAGACCAGCGACGTTGAAACACAATGCGGTGAATGTGCCGCTGGTAGTGGTCGCAGAGGCCGACGCAGCCGCGAGGGCACTCAGCACGAAAAGTTCAAAGTTCCGCATACTTGAACTTGTCTGTCTTCCGGGAGAATGCCTTTGTTGCGTGAAGCAGCTGGTTCAGGGGCAGTTAAATAGATGAGGAACAAGAGGGGAACCCTGAGCTATCATGAGATGACTAGCTGTAACCGAGGTGCTCGTCTCTATGCTAAGCTCTCGGCAGCAGGGTTATTTCTTGCGAGCTTGGAAAAGATCGTCACGCGCTGCAATTGTCCACGGCCATTGGCGGAGATATTGTGATATTCGTACGTGGGTGCATTCTTGGCATGCAGGCTGCAGGAATGTCGGATGTCAAGCCTGTTCTGTTCCTGAATCCAGCTAACACAATAATACAAGCGACTAGAGAACAAAAGCAGGAGGTGAGAGACTCTGCAGAATTACATCGGATAGACAGACCAAGCATTGCACGTGGCAGCAGTGAACCACTTCAGTTGGTCGTGCCAAGTGCACTGAAATCCGACCGTTGTCTTGGCTTGAGCTTGGCACTTTCGCTTAGATGATGGCATATAGACGGGCTAGATAAGCTATTGACCCAAGAGGTACCAACAGGTTCGTCATGTGCGAATTTCATATTGCATGTTCAAGCCGGGGGTGGAATTGATGATCCGCGTCGTCCGTAGTGTATTGCAAATAGGGGCAATTGTTTGTTGCCTGAAAAACCAAGGATGATCAACATGTCGATCGTGTGGATTGTCGAGATCCCAGAGCACATACTCATATTCATTTCTCATTGAAAACCTTGCCAGGGTTCATAAGCCAACTGTGAGTCAAAATCAGTACTAGCCAGGTCATGATCGGAAGCATCCTTACTAGGGATCCACGCTGCGCTTTAATGTCCTCATGAGATCTACTGTGGGTTCTCCTAATTCCACTTCAAGGTAGTCCTGCTCAGGTTAGCTGACGTTCGTACAGGTCGTCAGGAAGCGGGTAAATTACCTTTTTCCCGATCCCAATGCCGTGCTCGCCCTGAGAATGTCAGTGTGGGTTTGCAAAGTGCCAATATCTAAAGGACATACCGAAACTGTGCCTTCCATCTCGAGCGCCCGTCGCATCATTCTTGAGACACATGCTTTCACAGCTCGATACTCCTCAGAGCTCTTGGGATTATACATCACAGCCTGGTGAAAGTTGCCATCGCCAACGTGCCCCAATACTGTGGAGAAAAGTCCAAGGCTACTGGACTCCTCCTTTGACATCTCTGTTTGAACCATCAGCATACCTGAAGAAACTGGCTGGGGACCACTACTCACCAACGATCTCGGCCAGACGTGAGATCGGTACTGCCACATCGGTAGACCAGATCTCCGTGCCTTGTGGCCTCGCCGCTAAGGTCGTCCAAAGAGCCTCCTTCCTGGCCGACCAGAGATTGTCCCCTTCCTCTGGGGTTGATGCGAATACCAACTCGTCCGCTTTGTTGTTCTCGAGGATCTCCCGCGTTCGGTCGATGCTCTCATTGATTCCAGACGGGGTGCCGGTGAATCTGAGGATGTCAGAGTCATATCCCATGGCAGCCCAGCATAATTCCGAATGCGCACACACTTACTTGAAAAACAGCGTTGGGGCTTCAACCCAGTACCTCCCGCCCGCGCCACCATTCTGGTTGATGATCCTCATTTGGACATCGTCCATAAACTCCAGCGCCGCCAAGGGTACTGCCGCACGGATCAGCTTCGATGCGGCGGCCGTTGCATCTCCCACAGTCGGGAATGTCGCAATCCCCACACTAGTCTTCTGCGGAATCACTGCCAGCTTGAGCGTGGCCTCCGTGATGATGCCCAGCGTACCCTCGGACCCCGTGAAGAGCGCATTCAGGTTGTACCCCGCCGAGGACTTGCGCGGACGTCTCTTGGTCTTGATCACGGACCCATCGGGAAGCACGACGGTAAGATTGACCACCCAGTCCTTCATGGTACCGTATCGCATGGCGTTGGTCCCACTGCAGTTCGTGGCAATCATGCCCCCGACGTAGGCGGTTGGACTGGGGTCCATGGGCAGGAACAGGCTGGTCGATTTGAGTTGATCGTTCAGGTCCACCCACCGCACCCCAGCCTGGACCGTGACGTTCATGTCCTGCTCATACACCGCGACCACTTGGTTCATGCGGGATAGGTCGATGCAGATACCGGAATGCGGGGCGGAGAAGTTCCCCTCGACACTCGATCCTGCACCGAATGGGACCATAGGGACTCTGTACTTGGTACAGACGCGCGCGATATGGGAGACTTGTTCGGTCGTGGCAGGACTCACGACTGCGACCGGGCGTTCGGTGGTGTTAGAGGTCGACCAATCCGAGTACCCATGGTTCTCGATGTCTTCGGCATCAACACTGACAAATTCGTCGCCTAGAATACTTCGCAGCTCGTTGACAGCCTACAAGCGAATGGTCAGAAGCATTGGATCACAAGATTGGTGCCGAACTGCATGCTATACTGGACTGGGCTGGACTGGGCTGGACTGTACCTGCAACATGGTTGGGAGATCGGCATATCTTCCACCCGACTGTGTCTTGGCGGCTTCGGCTTCGGTGGGCGCCGCGGTTCCAGCCCACGCTTTAGAAGCCAGCAGAGTGACAACAGCAGTTGCTATGGCGGTGCCAACGAGGGGAAGAGTTCCCGATCGCTCAGAGGCGCGTTGCTGAGAGATCGACGAGCTGGATCGGAGGAAGAATGGCTTTTGCGACCGTGGAGATGTCGGTGGCCTCGACCAGCGAGGCCGAAAGCTACGTAGCTGCCATGCCTTCATCACGATTGCGGAGCCCCGAAAGATCTTCTAGTTGATGTGTCAGTTGAGACAGAGCCCGAAGAATCAATAGCCATGCCCTCACCAAGGGTGTTTTGAGACAATCTTTATGTGTTTGTTGGGGCGTCTTCAGTACGCGGTCCGAGGTAGTCGGTTTCGCGCTCGGCCTTCAATGTCAACAACTCTAGTAGTTGACTCAATTCAGAAAGGCTGCTAGATCAAGCTTTTGCTTATTGATGCGTGCACCGGAGAAGGGGGAGAGAAGGGGAAGAGAGCTCTTGGAGGTTGAGCCCAAAGCGTAATGATAAGTAATCGTCGTGTCGCAGGGATGAGAAGGAGAAGAAGGGGAATAATGAGAAAGACGATCGGGAAAGAGGCGGCGGTGGAGCAGGCGGCGGTGGACAAGTTGATTAACTATTGCGAGGAGAAAAGACAGGTTCACCGCATTCCTCAGTCCATGAACAATTCAAGGATATAGATGTTCAACCCTGAATCAAACTTTCCCTCTCCCTGTCCACGCAGATCCTGACAGGAGAGTTGCTCGGACTCAGGTGACTTCAATGCTTGCAAGGGTCTATTGCAACACATGCCTGCAAATGTATGCATTGAACTAAGATGTCGGTCGTCTGCCACTTGAGTGGATCGCAACAAATGGCCTTATGATGATAGCATTGATGGATATGTGATCAAATGAGGGCTTGCAGAGTACACTATATAAGTACTGTAAATCATTGCCCACCCTCAAACGCCTGTCTAAACACCTTGCGCAGCCCCACCATATCCGTCATCGCACTCGGCATGAGAAACCCTTGATCGGCATATCTCCTCGCCTCCTCCCCAGAGTCGCAGTAGATCCCAGTAACCTTTCCAGCAGCCCGCGCGGCTTCATGAATGGTCTGGATAGCTTCCAAAAGCTCCGGATCCATCTCTCCCTGTCCGCGCATAGGGTGACCAATGTTGACCCCGAGATCAAAAGGCCCGATGAACAAGACATCGACCCCCGGCACAGCCGCAATGGCCTTCACATTCTCCAACGCAGCTTTTGTCTCGATCTGAACCGCAATGACCAGCGCGTCGTTGGCTTGCTGCAGGTATTCGAGGCCGGTCGGTTCGCGGACGGGGCCGCCGTGCGGGTGCTGTTCGACGAACTTCTCCACCGCAAGGAGACTTTCAAAGCCCCGATTGCCCGCCGGAGGGAACTTCGAGAACTGCACAATCCTGCGGGCATCTTCAGCTGTTTCTAGCATAGGGACCAAAATTCCGTGGGCGCCCGAGTCAAGGGCGCGTTTGATCGCCCAGGGTCGGCCCTCGACCACGCGCACAATCGGCGACACGCCACATGCAGCAGCGGCGGCCACAATCTCGTGCATCGTGTCATCGGAGATATTTCCGTGTTCGAGGTCGACGAGGAGCCATCCGAGATTCGAGGACGACCGGCACATTACTCGTGTGAGGTTGGTGCCAGGGAGCATCTGCCAGCCCCCAAGCGAAGGGCGGCCGGCTTTGAGGGATTTTTGCAGGCGATTTGCTGCTTGCATCTTGATCAGGTGTAGCGTATAAAGATTATCAATACAGTCTCACCATGAGGTACAGCTGATGAGATTGGACGGCTTTATATGGTGCTCCTTCATACAATCCCGCGACTGTAAACAACATGTACTCAATTCACAGAACCCTCGGTTGCATCGGATAACGCTCCCGAGCATCAGCATCTCACCGAGCGATCGGACCCTGACTCTTCCATAAGAAGTAATTTATAGGAGAGCTACTAGGAAGCTACTCCCGATGCTTGCCGACGTGCATTTGGTGGGCACGATTTTTTCAGGCTCCCACGGTATCCAGCCTGAGGTAAATGGAAAATCCATATTTAAAGTCTTCCTACCACTGTTCAACACCCATCAGATTGCGCTCCCACAGTACTTAATCATCCATCGACTCATACCCTTCTGAAAATTGACCATGCAGACCAACGAATTGCGCGAAGTCGCGCTCGCCTTACGCACCGCCCGCACCGAGAAAGAACCCATATCACCACCCACCCAAACATGGCCCTCTCTCGACGCCGACAGCGCGTTTGAAGTTCAGCGCATCACCGTCGACGAGGCCGTGAAGCAAGGCGACCGCCTCGTCGGCCTGAAACTGGGCAACATTGCCAAGGTCATGCAAGACGCCTTCGGTCTGGACCAGCCCGACTACGGCTTTCTCCTGGCCAGCACCTTCATCTACGAGGGCACTCCAATTCCTCTCAAAGACTACATCGCGCCCTATGTCGAGCTGGAGCCTGCATTCGTTCTCAAGGCGCCGCTGAAGGGCCCCAACATCATCATCGCGGATGTGATCAATGCCATCGACTACGCCCTCCCTGCCATTGAGATCATCGATTCCCGCGTCAAGGACTGGGCGATTGGGCTACCGGATACGCTGGCGGACAATGGATCGACGGGGGCGATTATCCTGGGAGGCACCCCGCGCCGACTGACGGACCTCAATCTGCGGGATACCCGGGGTACTCTACTCTTCAACGGCCGCGAGATCATGACGGGCAACACCAAGAATATTCTGGGGAATCCGATCTCCGCGGTGGCGTGGTTGGCGAATCGGCTGGCGGCGTATGATGTCGGGCTCGAAGCGGGACAGGTGATTTTGCCCGGGAGCTGCTTGCAGGCGATGCCCATGAGAGAGACCGGGCGCTGGACGTGCAATTTTGACGGCTGGGGTACTGTCGAGTTTGATGTTGTCTAGGCTTGTGACCATTTCTGATTGTGATTTTCCAATGGTAGCATCAAAGTATGAGAAGTAACACAACTTTCGAAGCAGTGCTGTAGTACTTGTAACGTACGAACTAGGCGAAAAAGAAGGGGTATTCCTGCCCCTTCACGGAGTGAGTATCAGTGATCGTTGCCCCACTTCTTACTTTTCCATAGTAAGTGAATGAAGTTCAGTATGGCTTTATCTTTTCCATAGAGGAATCGGAAGCGTTTCCCGATCCCCGTCAGGGCTGGCTTCCATTCAAATTGCCTGTTTGGGTTAGGCCATTTCCCCGCAGGCTATCCCAAAACATGGCGATAAGTCTATTCTTTGTAACAACAAGTTGACTTACAATAAGCACGCATTGTTCTTGGAGAGATATTCCGAAGGGGCAGGATAAAAGTGCATGACAAGAGGGGATGCGATTGCTTGAGCTTGTCCTGCATGACGTACCCATCCCTCTCTGTGACACCACCATCACTTCTCTATCTTTCCTATAGTCACCAAATAAACGCTACATTTACAAAAGAGAGATGGATGAAATGACATTTCGGACTATAGCAGCACGACTGAGAACAGAACTACTGATAGTGATCAACAAAACAGCTAGCTATATCGAAAAGGACGAAGCTACTCGATGATCTCCTCGATCATCGACTCCAAAAACTGCTTCTGCTCAGTCAAAAAGGACTTCACACCAGCAGCATCGAACGGACGTTGAGCAATTTCGCGGTCTCGTTCCTGCTTCAAGAGCGCCCGAACCCGTTCTTCAAGTACCTCAAGCCTGTATCGCGTGTACTGAGTATAGAGCTCGCACAGGTTGCTGATAGGCCGCACGCCTGTCAGCACGGTCTCATCGCGCACATGCGGCGACTTGGCTCGGAACGAGGTAATCATCGTGATTCGCTCACGTCCCCCGACTGCCTTTAATGCTTGGTGTTCGATGTATCTTCCTTGCATAACCACGGCCGTGCCCTGGTACAGCATTGTCAGTCCACAGCAAATACGCACCAGAGCTGCAGAAGAGGTAGCTTACCATGGCCGGACCCCGAACCTTCATGATCTCTCCGGATGCAGTCTTGAGTGCAGTTTCGCCACCCGTCATACCCGTGCAGTCAGAGAGCATCGTCACGCAGACAAAGGGGTAGCTATCACGGTGCCAGGCAAAGGCGGGGAGAGCGTCATCGTTGGTAGTGGAAGTGGACGCCACCGTCTGATTGTTGATGGAGATGTTAATAGCGGCAATCTCATAGTCCATGGCAGGAACGAGGTCAATTCCAGCCACCTCGGAGATTCGAGACAGAACCTCCGGGGACTTCCAGGCATCACAGATAAAGGGGGCTCGACTGTTGATCTCATTAGGCCGTGAGCACTATCAGAAGTCCATCAATCACTTACGCAGGTCCCATGCCCCGGATAGTGTTCTTCACGAAGTCTGACGTGTACTGGCAGTTATCTAGCACCGATTGGCTGAAGATCTCGGCTCTCATCCGTCTGATAGCCTCTTCGGTAAAGAGCTGGAAAGGCGCCGTGACCGCATTGGGAGAGATTCCCTGACCTTCGAGACCAATCTCTCTCATGGTGTAGATTTTGCTGGGAGGCTGATAGTTCAGGTGCGTTTTCGGATCAAAGCTCTGCTTATCAGCCAGCTGGGCTCCATCGATGAGTGACTGCGGTAGCTTGTTGGTGGGTCTGGTGGCTCTTCTTGTAGTAGGCCCAACCACCATAGGCGGCGCCGTCGGGGTCATCACTGCGGTCAGAGACATGCTGGAATGTAGCGTGTTCGAAAAAGAATACTTGATGGTTCAGAAGTTGAATGCTTGATGAGGTCCAAACGATTGAGTAAATTCGAAGACTATATAGCAAAAGATATTTTGATTGAACTCTCCGCGTATACGGAAGCTTATGTCTTTGAATGAGGGCAAAGTCCTAGAGTCCGAGGATCGGATGAAGCTCCCGAGAGACCCGCGTTGATTCATACGAATCAGGTGCCCATTTCCTCATGCCGCTGGCTTTTTTGCCTCCTCTATCTCCCGTTGCGGAGTCACTCGGAAGGCCTGGTCGGGTTCTGATCGCGAGAGTTGAAAAGTCATTACGTGGGAGATACTGATGAAGGTTTGTTCGTATAAACAGCAAGGGACGATCATTTGTGTACGCACACCTGTTACTTCCCCCCATTTCTTCGAGCCCACTTTCTTCCCCGCTCGCAAAGGGCGCCACCCCCGGTTTGAGATCATGGGTCAGAGATACTGTTCCAATCAGCATGAACCAAAGACAGAAGCAAGGATGAATAGAAGCACCCTTTGTTCCGGTCAACAGCCTCTACCTCGTCTCCTTCTCCCATCTTGTTGGCTTGTCCTTAAATAGATGCTACCCCACATCCCACAAGGACCTTGTACCGTCTATACTCTATTGCAACCCCTTTCATATCATTTCCTCTCTAGTTTCCTTGCCACCAACATGACCAAAGACAAAACCATCTCTGATGACATCCAGGGCACCACGCCTGATTCCGGTCCCGATAGCCAGGATGTCATGAAAGCCGAGCTCGTCGATCCAAATCCCCCAAATCAGCTTCAACGCCGTCTAGACAACCGCCAAATTCAAATCATGGCAGTGGGAGGCTCAATTGGAACCGCTTTGTTCATCAGTATCGGCGGAGGACTGGCCAAGAGCGGACCGCTCAGCCTACTGCTTGGCTACGGCATTTACTCTGTGATCTTGGCCTGTGCTACCAACGGATTGGCTGAGATGACCACGCTGGCTCCCATCCCCGGCGGGTTTATTCGCATGTCGGGCAAATGGGTGGACGATGCCTTTGGCTTCATGGCCGGATGGAATTTCTTTCTCTACGAGGCGATCTCGATTCCGTTCGAGATCACTGCTCTCAATATGTTGTTGAAGTTCTGGACCGATGCCATTCCCACGGCAGCGGTGTGCTGTGCATGTATTGTCGCTTATTCGTGAGTCTCTTTCCATGTGACTGAAGCCCTTGATCACCAGGAAAACAACCATGGACTAACAATTCTCCATAGTCTGCTTAGCATCTTCGCAGTCAAAATATACGGGGAAGCCGAATTTTGGGGATCAAGTGGAAAAGCCGTCCTGATCACCCTCTTATTCTTTTTCACCTTCGTCACCATGGTCGGTGGCAACCCTCAGCATGATACTTATGGCTTTCGTCACTGGAAAGACCCCGGGCCCATGGCCGAGTACCTGCACACCGGATCACTGGGTCGCTTTGAAGGTGTGCTTTCCGCCATCTGGATCGCGAGTTTCACGATTGCTGGTCCGGAGTATGTCAACCTTCTCGCCGCCGAGGCAAAACGCCCGCGAGTGTACATCAAAAACGCTTACAAGGTGGTCTACTGGCGGTTCGTCTTCTTTTACCTCATGGCCGCCTTGTGCGTGGGGATCCTTGTCGCCTATAACGACCCAACTCTAGTAGCCATCTTTCTCGACAACACCGACAGCGGCGCTGGAGGATCGTCTCCATTCATCGTGGCGATGCACAACATGCAGATTCCGGCCCTGCCACATCTGATCAACGCCCTACTGCTGACGACGATCTTCTCGGCCGGAAATACGTACATGTACTGCGCAAGTCGCAGTCTGTACGGGCTGGCTCTGGACGGGCGAGCTCCCGCTATTCTGACCAAGTGCACTAAGAACGGCGTGCCAGTGTACTGCGTGCTGGTCGTCATCTGTTTCCCCCTGCTTTCCCTCCTCCAACTGGGCGACGGATCCGCGCAAGCCCTGTCCTGGCTGACTAATCTGATTACAGCCGGGGGGATCATCAACTACATTGTCATCTGCGTGACATACCTTTGCTTCTACCGTGCCTGCAAGGCGCAGGGGGTGGACCGCAAGACCTTCCCCTATTTTGGCCGCTTCCAACCCTACACCGCTTGGGTCGGGCTCGTCGGGGAGTGTCTGATTGTGGTTTTCTACGGCTACGCCAGTTTCACTCCCTGGAACGTTTCGGACTTCTTCACTCATTACACCATGGTCATTGTGGCGCTCGTGCTGTACCTGTACTGGAAGCTTGTCAAACGCACCCGAATGGTCGATCCCAAGGAGGTCGATCTGGTCTGGGAGATTCCGCTTGTTGATGCGTACGAGGCCAGCCTGACGTCGTCTCCAGTCGGGTTCTTCACGGAATTACTGCAACTGTTTGGCTGGAGGAGAGGACAGATTGCGGGTGATGTGGACAGTCGGATTTGAGTGGGCTTGCGGTCTCTTCGCATATGTAGAGTCACTCACAAACCAGTGATATGCTTCGATCCACTGCGATAGCTGGAATAAGATACGCAGTACCCAGGAACCAATAAAATAGCCTCTCACTAATCCAATGCATGGTTGTGCAGAAGTAGTCTCGGATGAGTCTCCCGAGAGGCGATAAGGCAGAACCAGTAGCAGTGCCGCACCCCAGCAACACTATCAGAACTGGTTGACTCTCGTACCGTATCTGTCAATCTCGTTCTCGGTGAGAGATACGCACTAACCGACTTTGGAATCCTGGACGACCGAAAATGCGGGGTAAAGAAGTGGATCTGCTCGCATGCAACTTCTTATCGCTCCCGATTCACAACCCCGAATTGCCGACCAGCCTGCTCTTTTCCGCCTCAGCTGGCAGCAATCAAGTCCAACGGTCCAACGTGTTCTTTGAGTCCTCCCGTTCCTAATACCTCCATACCTTCATGGGACTCTGAATATGCAAGCGTCAGCACGTAAAGCCCGAAGAACTGCAAACGCGTCAGTCTATCCCTCAAATCGTTGATCGCGCTCTAATTTGCCGGCTAGATGCGTCGCATGTCGTCAGAGCAAGATAAAATGCTCAGGTGAAGAGCCCTGCATTAATTGCCAGAGACGCTCGGTGCGCTGCGAGTTTGCAGAGGGCGTCAACCGGGTCGTGGTCTCGGAGAGGTTCGTCGATTGTGGCCATCAGTCGTTCGTGCTGCCAGATGGTAACAGAAGCCCTGCACCAGATATCTGCGACGCTTGGAGGCGCAGGTTCGTAGCCAGCAAGCGCTGGCCACCATGAAAAATCCGATCCTGTCTCCTTCCGACACACCTCCGGTGGCTAGAGACAGCTGTCCGACTAAAGCTGCATTGTCAACCTCCGGTTCCGCACCCTCTCGAGAAACGTCGCCGGCGAGCCAACAGCGAAGCACCTGGACAAGTCCTTTCGCTCTCCCGTCGACAACCATCAAGAACACGAAGAATAACAAGCGAACGTGGAGTATGTTTCTATCTGCATGTTCGAAAGTCCCATCTAACTATGGTACTAGTCTGGCTGGCACCGTCGTCCATGTGGTCATTCACCACCCGCCTCACCATTCTAATGACAGAGAAGCTGCATCGTCAATATCCCCACAACGCCCCGACCTTGCGAGCCAAAGAAATCTACCCCCTCCGCTGGGACGTCTGTCCAGCCAGCAGGCCTCCGGACATAGCCGGCCTGCCGTCTCTCGATTACTCGCTGTACCTATTCAACACGGTGAAGTTCCATCTAGGGCAGTTGCGCTTCTTCAACGAAGAGCAATTCGTCGAGCGTCTGCAGGAATTCTACCACGGTAACCCCATCGCAGTAGCCACAGGACACCGCCTTTGGTTCATTCAACTCCTCCTGGTTTTATCGTTTGGAACAGCTCTGCTGTGTCGGTCGAAAAGCCCGGATCAGCCCCCGGGTTCACGGTTCTTCGCCCGCGCCATGTCTTTGATGCCGGACCATGCGTCCCTGTGGAAGGATAGCTTGTTGGCAATAGAGGTACTAGCCCTGGCTAGCCTGTACTTATATTCGATCGACCAAAGGGAATCCGCCCACATATACGTAAGTGTACCGGTAGCCCAGACTTTCTTTGGATGCGCACGGTTAGGATTTGTACTGAGTAAGTCGAATGCTGCAGCTCGGGCAAGCGATCCGAATCGCACAATACGAAGGCATGCACACCCAGCTCTCCGAGGAGCAGCTGGGGTCCGAGACTGTGGCCCGATGTCGTAGTCTCTGGTGGACGTTGTACATCATGGACCGGCACTTCTCCTACTCGGTCGGACTGCCGATGACCACCCAGGATCGGGACATCAGCACGCCGATCGATCCTCCAGAGCACTGCTCCCAGCAGGATCTTGCTCTTAGTCTCCACGCGAAGCTGTCCCGACTGCTGTCATATATTCTGAGCAGTGAGTTCGTTCCCCTGCCACCCGACGAACGGTGCCCTAACCGGGTTCGAAGCGATATACAATGCGGAAAGAACACAGTTGCACGTCTTTCTGGACACCACGAAATCGATTCTTCAGACCTTGGCGGGCTACGCGCAGGAAATGGAGGAGATCATCCAGATCCGACTGCGCAATTCGCTGGACACGATGCCCCGAGGCACGCAGCACATCACCCTATTATATCACCAGGTTCGCCAGCCCCATCGCTCCCAACATCATACCCCTTCGACCCCACCCCTTGGAAACGCATTCCACTCATACAAATCACCACCCAGTGCGTAATCGTAGCCACCCGGCCCCTCCTCCTCTCCGCCCTGATCGACCGCCTCGAAACCCTCACCCACGACGGCCTCGACACCAACGACTTCCTCGCCCTCACCAAGCCCCTCCTCTGCATCGGAATCAAATCCGCCGTCAAAACCATCGAGATCCTTTCCGGCACCGACAGTCTTCTCGGTAGGTGTATCTTTTCCTTCCCCCCTGTTCCCCTCCCCAAACAGAAGAAAAAGAAAAAGAAAAAGAAAAAGCCACAACTCAACTAAAT